TTGAATTTTTTATTTCAGCTAGCTTATAAGCTACTTTTACCAAACACTTTTATCATATAAACTAGCTTATAAGCTATAAGTCATAAGCTATAAGCTATAAGCTAGCTTATCACATATAAGCTATAAGCTAGCTTATCAGCTATCAGCTAGCTTATCAGCTTGTTTTACCAAACACACCCTAAATAACACTAATCGTACTTAAAGTGTGAAAAACCAGAAAACGAAGATAAACACGGCCTCCATGAATAACCAAAAAAATAAAAAGGAAATCGAGAAACAAAATCAGGTTACACACCTTTCACACCACAATGTCGCAGAGCAAGCGACGAAAACGAACCTCACACTTTTCACGGAGAAGAACCTTAAATCGAACCTTAAATCGCCGGAAAAAAACCCTAATCGACAGGAAAAACACACAAAAAAAAAACGAACCTTAAATCGTCGGAAAAGAGAGCACTCGCGTAGTCGGAATCTCAAGGAAAGAGGACAATTGAAATCGGCACCTTAAATCGAACTGAAAATCGCCGGTATTGCTTAAAGTGAGAGAGATTTTTTTTAAGAGAGTGATGAAATGGGGAGCGGGAATGGACATGAAGAAAAAATGGAAAAAAATAAAGAAAAAATGGAAAGGAGAAAAAATGAAAAGGGTGTTCAAGGGCAATTATGTACTTTTGCCTATCAAAATGGCTAGATTTTAACTTTTTTATAAAAATGGCTATATTTCATTTTTGTTTTTACTTAAGTGCTATAAAGCACCATTACCACAATCTATAATCCATTAACCAACCAAAATGGAAAAGGGCATACATGGAAACAAATCTAATCCTAGAAACTTCCCCCTTTTGGTCACATTTTTCTTTCTTTCTTCGTTTAGGTTGGCCTCCAAATCCACAAAATTCCTCTCTTCTTTAGCACGCTTTTAATAATTGTCATCTTATAGCTGTTGCATAAAATGAGTGCAAAAGGCGAAAAAGATTGAAGCTTACACCCATTTCTGATCTCTGTTTGAAGCAGGTAAAGTTAGCTCCTCTCTAATTATTCTCCTGTTTGAATGAAATTTGATCTGATTATTCTTGACCTATATGATCACATTCATCAATCCTTCTTGTTTTGTGCGTGGATGGATAATAATATCATTAATTTCCCCAAAATTTCTTTGACATATCTGGGCAGATTTGAGAAATTTGAGGTGTTCGAACAAAATGGGTGTCCCATTTTTGGACATTGGAATCACCAAATTGAAAAAAGGTGCGATCTTTACAATCAGAGGGTGTTTTAGATCTGCCTGCAATCACCCATTGCTTGTGTGCAATCTGTGTTTCTTGATTTTTCTGCACAGAGTATTCCCTTTTGTTTTCTCTCTTCTGGTCACTGCTTCCCCTGTACTGATATGCACCGCAATCTTGCTTGGGGCCTTCTTGAGTTTCGGCCAGCCGAACCTACCCGATTTCGAAAAGCACGAAAAAACGGTGCCTGTCGAAAACGAGGTTTCTAGAGATGTCGTTTTGGTCGAGCAAAACGAGACCGGTTATTGTGCCGACAAAAGGGATGATGGGATAGATCGAATGTCGACCATTGAAATCAGCCGAGAGTGTAATGGCTCGAATGTTGAGGAGAAAATCGAGTCGTGTAACGACGAAATTTGGGAGGACACGTTGGACGAGGCAAAAGGCGACGAATGTGACGAAGAGAGGCTCGGTGAAGAGGGTAAACTCGTCGAGGAGAATCGCTACTTATCCACGCCGAAAGATAACGGAAGAAATGGAAAATCAGATGACGAGGGCTCGTTCGATTCAGAAGCCGCTGACTTGGGCTCGCCAAACTCTCCCCATTCGTCTTGGAAGCGTGTTGGAAATGATGTGGACGATGATGGCGTGGACGATGATGATGTGGACGGTGATGGCATGGACGATGATGATGTGGACGATGATGGCGTGGACGATGATGATGTGGACGATGATGGCGTGGACGATGATGATGTGGACTCCGGGTCGGGCGGGTCCGTAACCTCGTCACCCGACCCATCCGTGGCATCCGACATGATGCCGATGCTTGACGAGCTCCATCCTCTTCTCGACGAGGACTCGTCGAACCAAATCCTCGTCTCGCAAAACGTGTCGAGCCTCGCCTCCGAGCAGTCCTCGTCCTCCTCCCGGTCGAGCATGAGCAGCATTGACTCAATCGACAAAATCGAGGAGTTCGAGGAAGATAAAGACGAGGAGCAGTCGAAATCGGCCATCACGTGGACCGAAGAAGACCAGAAGAATCTCATGGATTTGGGGAGCTCGGAAATCGAGAGGAACCAACGGCTTGAGAATCTCATCTTGAGGCGCCGGAGGAAGAACGTAAGCATGGTGCCAGAGATCAACCTTATCGACCTCGAGGGCAGCGGCTCGGATTTCCCTCCGCCGCCGCCAGTCTCCACCGCTCGGAAAAACCCGTTTGACCTCCCAAATGACGAAAATGCCCCCGGCTCGGCTCCCTCGGTACTCGTGCAGAGGCGTAACCCTTTCGAGTTCGTCTTCCCGTACGAGACTGGCCTCGAAAGGGGGGTGGGGTCCTACTTTGTCGTCCCGGAGACAGGTTTCGCGCCCTTCGGCCGGCAGTCGAGCCGCGACTCGAAGACGAGCTCGGCTCCCGACACAGAGTCAGTCAAATCAGTCAAATCGTCCGGGTCGCTCGAGGACCAGCTGAAGCTTCCGGAAGAATCGTCCGAGGAAGAAGATTCGATTGACGAGCCACCTCGACTGATCTCGGACATGAATCACGTGTCGGAGCATATAGGGCACGGGAGCCAGTCCTCGGATGACGAGGATGAAGGTCTCTCGGATTCGGATCGGGAAAAAAAACTAGTGGCGGATGAGTCGAATGGTTCTTGTTCGGAATCAGAAAACGAAGGGCCTACTCGGGTTTCGCCGGAGAGTGGTGAAACGAGCATCATGGGAGTATTAGCCGACGAGAATCCGCACAGAGAGCCCGTTTACGATTCAAGCCCGCATTCGATTAGGAAAAATATGTCGTCGTGTTCTGTTTCTTCTGACGTGAATGCCGAGCCCGGTGGCGCCAGCCTGGCACCTGTGGTGGTCAAGCGCACGGTATCTTTTTTGGAGGAGGAGAATCGTGCTGACGAGCGTGGAGATGGAGCTTCAAAAATGGAAATTCATATGAGTAATAGTAATAATAATAGTTGTGGAAAATTGGATGAGGAGAAGAGGTTGAAAATTGACGAGGGGGAAAAAGTAGAGTCGCCAGATTCTGGTGGCGATTATCAAGAGGCGAGCGAGAAATTAGTGTCGACACCTTCGGCTGGAGGGAGCACGACTCTTTCTAACTATATTTCCATGCACGACCGAAATTTCGACCATCCTGAGGAAGTACCGGTAATTCGAAGTTTTTTAATATTTTTCGTATTTTTTTGCTTATATTGAATGAATACACATTCTATTTCAGTGATTAGATTGTAGTTGTTTTGTCCTAATCTTCATTTGTGTTTAGGCCTTCTGAACCCTGTTTTTGGATATAATCAGAAATGCTTCTGCAAAATGCTCGAAATAATATGAACATTTTGTACTTTGCTAAACGGCTTTCGTGTTTAGAATTTCGATTTCCTTTACCCATAATGCATCTCAACACAAAATTGTAGGTTCCAAACACACCCGTTGAGTCGAACGAGATAGTTCGAACCATACAGAATCTCAACATACCGGAAATTTATGAGCTCGATCATGAGACCTCGCCGAGCCTTGGCTCTCCTTACAGTCCCGATTTCATTTCTATGCCGTCGAGTGCTGGGTCCCACGTAAACATGCAGACTATACAAGAAGAAACCGATGATGGAGGTTTACTCTCGGAATTAGACAGTGTGGGTGATTTTAGCGTCACGTCTGGCTCGGATTCGAACGAATCCGAAAAGCAAATAGATTATGAAGAAGGGGGCGTAAATATTTTGAGGGGGGCAAGAACGTCTTTTCAAAATGACGAATTCGACGAAATGGACACCCAGGATGATTTTACTCGCGTGGAAAATAAAGGCTGTCGAGATAGTAGTGATGATGATGACTCTTTGCCGAATAAGGGAGATGATGAATCGAAAGAAATCAAAGCTCGAGATGTTGAGAATCTTGACGAGGAAAACGAAGCTAATAATCTTGTTGATTCTGAGGTGAAAGAAGATCATCGGGTAATTAATATTTCTCAAGAAAACGAGCCGGGCGTGAAGTTGGTGGGCCCCACGGTCGATTTACCGATTCTTGATTCTGTAGAAAAGACTCGCGAAAAGCTCGACTCGGTTGATTCGAGAGACGAGCAAGAAACTTCTGACTTGCGCCGTGTTGAAGAAATTATCGACCCTCAAAGTTCAAGTTCGCCAGCAAATAAACCGTTGGATGAAAACTCGGAGAAAGTAGATTCATGTGTGAGCTCTTCTGCTGCTGCCGAGAGTTCAGTTGTATCGGTTAAAGGAAAAGGCGATAAATCCTCGAGTTCAAGTTCGAGTTCGAGTTCGAGCTCGAGCTCGAGCTCGAGTTCCAGTGAATCTGATGGAGAATAATAAGGCTGCAAAATGTTAAGGGGAAAGAAAACAAAAATGTGTTTTGAGATTATTCACAAAACCCTTTTCCCGCCTTTTTTTTTGTCTTGCCATTTAAAAGTTTTTTTGAGTGTTATAGTTTTTTGTGTTCCCTTTTGTTCTTGGGCCTGCGCAGTATTTTATAGAGGGAATTGAGAAATCTTGTTTTCTTCTTTTTTTTTTTTTTTTTTTTTTTTTTTTTTTTTTCTCGTATGTTACATGGAGAGGAGTGTTCTTGTAGAGTAATTTGCACATAGTTTGTTCTTGAGCTTTTCTTTGAACGGTAATGCTCTTCTACCTACGGATACA